TAAATAAAATCTGTTTTTGTATCCGAAATGTTTCAAGATACCTGAATGAAACGGCACGCAAGGCCCTGTATTTCGCAAACTTTGAAGGAACACTTAGGCAGGGAATAATTATTTGGGCGAGTAGCTCGAGGACTCGAAATATATTTACAGTACAAAAACGTATACTAAGGACTATCTACGGAATGCCTCCTTTGCATTCTTGTCAAGGGGGTTTTAAATCAAAGGGTGTTTTAACCGTGTACGGTCTGTACATTTTTGAGGCAATATTATGTGTTTTTAAGAGTATATATTTACACGATAACAACGTTAACCAGGATCATAGCACCCGCACGGGAAACATTTTGTATCCAACACACAGACTAACACTGTCTAAAAAGAGTCTGTACTATATGGGCGTAAAATTCTTTAATAAACTAGAAAAAGTAATAATTCAAAAATTGATTAAGAATAAATTAAAACAGATGTTAATTGAGTTAGAGCCTTATAGTACTAGAGACTATTTAAATATGTAACAACAGTACCTTTTAGTATAATATGTCCCTTTGTCAATTGTTTTTTTAACGCCATTTCATTTCGTATTCTTTATACATGTGCATGTATCAATCGAATGTAATTTGAAACAAAGAAATAAATAAATAAAAAAAAGGCTTGGGCACCACAGTCCCGCCTTAGCGGCAACGTCAATGTGGGCTTGATCAAAGTTTGTTTCCCGGGGTGATTTATCTGTGTAGTCCAGGTGCCGATGCACTCTTTTCTCGGGGTATTGTTCAAATTGGTGGACATACGTCAACTGTCTCCTGCCCAATTTGGACAGGCGCATGGATTGACATCCTAGCCAGCAAAATTTTCAGTGCTATGGACACAAGCTGCGGATCCAACCTTCCAGAGGCCGCCAGAGGACAATCCAGAATGACCAAAGCGTCCCGATCCATGAATCACGGTCCTTGGCAGGGGCACGCAAACGAGCAGCGATTCCTGGAAGCGCTGGCCGACTTCATGGAACAGTCCTGGACAATTGTGTGCCAAGTGCGAGAAAAAGCCGGACTGAGTGCTAGCTGTTAGTTCTCCTACTCCTAACTTGTTGAGGTTTGGTCATTTTCCGGCCTGGTTGCAGATGAGATGAGCTCGACGGAAATCGCCCGGCGGATTGAGGAGGTTTCCAGGAAGCTGGACGGCAAGTACCGAGAGGTGCAGGCACTGGAGGCTCAAAAAGCGCAGCTCTTGCATGTGAGTTTCAACAATTTCGAGCTTTCGGGTGGCGTCAGTCGAAGCTTGGTTTACTTTCCAGAAGGCGCCTCCTAAAAGCTCCACCCAAGCGGGCCAAAGAAACCCTGCCTCTGTCCAGAGCCAATATCGAGGACCTAGAAATTTAGCAGGAAGCAGTGGAGAGTACTGGTCCTCCCCATCGGCAGCCTCTTCCCGAAGGAGAACTCAATTTAGTGCTGGCGCGTCTCTATGTCCTCCTGAATGTCCCGATTACTCACATTTTTAAATGTAAGCCTGGTTTGCAACTTTCTGATGTCTTCTAGTGTTCTTGCTAATGAAAGCGTGTTGGTTGAGGTATGTTAATAATACGCAGGGTCCTCTTTCAGGGTTCCAGCGGAGGCTTTGGATCTGGGGATCTTGGGTTTTTGATAAATGCAGTGTTTTTGATACGCGGCCGTTAATAAATCTGTTCCCAAATGAATCAAACTGTTTTTTAATGCGCGCCCATGAATGGGTCTGGAGTTTTATTATCCATGCTGTTTTCCCATTAACCATAATGTGTATTAGAAAAGGAGGCAGTAGAGGCCAACATGTTCTATCACCTCAAGTAACTCCTGTTGCTCCAACTGCTCTAGACTATAGAAAGTTTGGTGTTTTTGGAGACTTCCGCATACATACAGGGGAACATCATCTTTGCAGCTCTAAAACACCGAAGGTTCTACCTGCTCTGGCTTAGCAGAAATCAAGTGCTTGCTCTTTGCCGTTCTTTGGTCTGTTAACGGTGAGGGATGGAATATTCAAAAAAAATCTCCCAATTAAACCTGGGCACCAAGATTTTTTAAACTTTCCAGGAATACTAAAAGGAAAACTGTCTCTATAATCAAGTAGCATTCATTGTTCTGTCTACTCCCGTTTTGAAGCGACTCGAAGTTTTCCTTTTGCCTGTTTGCACATTTTCAAAAAACGCTTGCCATTGAACCTGAAGATTGATATTTCCGAAACATTTTGTGTACAATGCGACAATCATGCTCTTTCATAGTCAACTACTTCATTCCTTCCTTTATCTGCGCCGTTTCAGAAGTAGTTTAAGATTTTTTCCACCGTGTATACTCGCACTGAACCTCATGCCACCTGCTCTAACCGATCTGTCGTTCAAACCTCAAAATTCTTCGTTTAAACTAAAAAAAACTCAGAAATGGCGACTCCAAAGACCGAAGACACTCCATCCACACCTTTGGACATTGAGGGCTACGATCTGGCCAATTCCGGCCGCTTCATGGACTCTTTGGTGACTTTGCTGAACGAAGCCTCCACTTGCATGCTGCAGGTGAAGAAAAATGCAGGAATTTCCGCGGAATGTTCATCTGCAGGTACGGACGGGCAGGCGAAAGATTTGCTGCGTCTGCCAGTTTTTCCTTGGTTGCAGTTCCGATGAACGACGAGGAAAAGCGCGATCAAATGCAGGCGATTGTGAGCGTGTTGAGTCAGAATTGCAAGCGGCAGATAACAGGAGATGTGAGTACTCAAGCCAATCGATTTTCAGCCATTTCAGACCGAAGACGAGCGCCAGACCACCTGATTTCAGTCACGTAGTGCGTGCCAATTTGCATTTTCAATTGCGCAATTACTTACGCAAATTTTCAAGATCGCAAGAAAATCCTTGAGCGAAATACTGCTGCGCAATTTTGTTGACTAAACCGGCGTTTTTTTCGCCAGGAAATTGGCCAATCGAAGTGTCCGGGGCCTCCCAAAGCGGATTGTTTCACGCCCACTTCTTTGCCTAGGCAGACGGGCCGAGGACAGAGACCGACCATGGTGATAATATTGCAATTTTTGTCTGTTAGTAGCTAATTCTGGACAGTTTAGGGGCAGATGGATCCGTCCAGCTACAGCCGCCAGAATTCCAGCTACCCGCCATCAGGTAAAATTTGACTCAATTCTTTAAGGCTTACGCCAGCTGTTTAACGCCACCCGATCAGCTCAAGTTCGCTATATGAGTGAAGAATACGCTGGATCTTCAGCGAGGAGCTCCAGAGGCCGAGGCTGCTCCTCGGACTGTCTGCAACCGTCCAATGTAAATCGGCCTTGAAATAGTTTTCAGCTCTTTCAACAATCTGCCTTTCCAGAGCTCGCTTGGACAGAGACATCGAAGATGAACCCACTTTTTAACTGTTTTTTTTTTAACCAATAAAACCTTTTAGCATTAATATGCGGTTTTGATTAGGGTACCACTAATTGGGGCAGGTGAAAGCAATGTTCCACCCCTTGCAGCGCATTGGCATGTGACAAAGTCAGAGCAAAATTCCAGTAAATCATGGAACTGCCGAATCCCGCCCCGAAAACCTGCGAACAGGAAAAATTGAAAGCCATGGTGGACAGTGTGATCGAATTCATCACCGCTTCGCGCAACATGCTCTGTGCCCTCAACCAGCGGCTTAAAGACAGCGCAAGAGCCAAGGAAGAGTCAAAGAAGCGGACGGAAGATGAAAATGCCAAACCCGCTATCTACCAAGGTACCCATTTCAGTCAAACCGCCGGTAAAAGCTTGGGAAAATGCTAAAATACTTCCGCAAAAGTTTTAATATAGAGGCTGCCTGAGGCTCTGAGGATGGATATTTTCGGGTTATTTACAGGAAAAAGTGGCGGTTGTCACTGTTCCTTTCTTCGGCCTGTCAATGGAAAAGAAGCAAATTTTCGAAAAATTCAATCTAAAGAGGGTCGTTCTTGTCGATTTGTGTCGTTATAGAAGCAAATGTAGTGTTCACAATTTAAAAAAAAATCCTGTT